TCAGATTGGACCTTGTGAATATATATATATATATATATATACTTGCTCTTTTCTGTGTGGTGTTGTGGCGTTGTGTTGTGTGTAGTGACCAGCTGGGTCGTTACACTTTAGTGTATCAGAGCAGTTCAAGTCTAGCGGACACTCTTTGGGGGTGGTTCCTTTAGGCTTTTGTTATGTTGAACTCTGTATTGTGTTGATTTCTTTGTTGATTATTGTGCTGTTGATTGTTGTTTGGTTTAGTTATTGTATACTGAAGGTGTTGTTACTTTTGTAGACAATGACTAGAACTAATGAGCAGATAGCTCGTGCCATGGGGATGATGGATATGGATATGCAGCAGCAAAATGCTTATTTTGCTAGGATGGACGCTGATAGAGTTGCAGCTGGTGTAGCAAGGCCAGTGGGGTCACAAGAGAGCCGGGATCTAGCTGAGTTCCGGGAATGCCATCCTCCACAGTTTAAGGGAGATGTAGACTTAGAGGTAGCTGACCACTGGATCTGTGAGCTGGAGAAGATCTTCCCAATGTTGGGATGTTCTCAGGAGAGGAGGCTGACATATGCTATCTACATGCTGGTTGGGGAGGCTGAGCATTGGTGGAGGGGCACTCACCATATGCTGACTACTAGAGGTGTTGTTGTGGATTGGGAGTGCTTTAGGAGGGTGTTCATGGAGAAGTACTTCTCGGAGAGCGTGAGGCACGTTAAGGAGGCTGAGTTCATGCGGTTACACCAGGGTGGGCTGTCTGTATCGGAGTATGCGATGAGATTCGAGCACCTGGCTCGTTTCTACTCGCAAGCTATATTTGAGGCCTAAAAATGCAGGAAGTTTGTTGAGGGTTTGAAGCAAGAGCTGAAGAGGGTGGTGGTGCCTATGGCCATCATTGAGTTTCCGGCCTTAGTTGAAAAGGCGAGGGTTGTTGAGCGGTTAGAAGGTGGCAACCGTGTGATGAAGACTACTGAGGGACCAGCTGGGTCCAAGAGGGAAGGAAACCAGAGGAAGCCATATGATAGGCCCCAACCACAACAAGGGGGTCCTTTCATTAGGCAACCTGCTGATGCTATCAGGGGAGGGAGACATGGTGGAGGTGTCACTCTTAGATGTTTCAGGTGTGCTGGACCCCATTTTGTTAGGGATTGTCCACACACGGAGAGCTGGTGTTTCAGGTGCCATCAGATGGGTCATGAGTCAACAAACTGTCCCGCTAGAGACAGACCTGAAAGGGGTTCTCAGAGGGGTGATGCTTAGAGAGGCGATGCTCGGAGGGGTGATAGACCTACTACTGCTGGCAGAGTATTCACTTTGACTGGGGTTGAAGCTTCTACTTCCTCAGATCTTGTGTAGGGGAAGGGTAAAGCTGCTGGTAAGGATGTGATGATCTTATTTGACTATGAGCTTCCCATTCATTTATTTCTTATGCATGTGTTGCTATGCTTGGTGTGCCGGTGTGTGACTTGGGGTTGAGACTGCTAGTGTCAACGCCCACTTCTACTTTGGTAGTTGCTTCTGAGCTGTGTGCTGGCTGTCCTATTGTGGTGAATGAGAAGAGGGACAAGGTGAACTTGATCTATTTACCTTTGGTGGACCTTGACATAATCTTAGGGATGGATTGGTTGTCTGCCAATCGCATCTTTATCGATTGTGCCAATAGGAGGTTGATCTTTCCTCAAGTGGAGGAAGAGTTGTTGATTTCAGCTGGCCAAGCTGAATCATTGTTGAGAGATGGAGCGAAGTGCTGTCTTCTGCTTGTTGCCATGAGTATGGAGACCGAGAGGGTCATTGCTGAGATAGATGTGGTGAGGGATTTTGCTGAGGTGTTCCCGAATGAGGTGCCTAGGTTGCCTCCTATTAAGGAGATGGAGTTTAACATTGACTTGGTTCTAGGTGCGGGGCCAGTGTCGATGGCTCCCTGTAGGATGGCCCCAGCTGAGCTGGTTGAGTTGAAAGGTCAGTTGGAGGACCTGTTGGAAAAGCAGTTGGTGCGACCGAGTGTATCGCCGTGAGGTGCTCCCGTGTTGTTGGTGAAGAAGAAAGACGGAGGTAGTCGACTTTGTGTGGATTACCGGCAGTTGAACAAGTTGACCATTAAGAACAAGTATCCACTTCCCGGATAGATGACTTAGTGGATCAGCTGAAGGGAGCATCGGTTTTCTCAAAGATTGACTTAAGGTCAGGTTATCACCAGATTAGGGTGAAGGAGGGTGATATACCGAAGACTGCTTTCAGGACTAGGTACGGTCACTATGAGTATGTTGTGATGTCGTTTGGTGTGACCAATGCCCCGGTAGTGTTCATGGATTACATGAATAGGATCTTTCGTCCTTTCTTGGATTACATGAATAGGATCTTCCGTCCTTTCTTGGATAAATTTGTGGTGGTATTTATTGATGAGATCCTGATTTATTCAAGGACCCCAGAGGAGCATGGAGAGCACTTGAGGTTGGTGCTGGAAATTTTGAAGGCGAAGCAGTTGTACGCTAAGCTTTCAAAATGTGAGTTCTGGGGTTGGATGAGATGAAATTCTTGAGACATGTGATTTTAGCTGAGGGGATTGCTGTTGATCTGGCTAAGGTGGAGTCGGTGTATATATTTTTATGAAAAATATTTTCTTAGTTTTGACCTTGTATTTTTGGATCAAATATTTAAGAAATTTATCTCTTTGTAATTTCTTTTTAGGGGTGTATTTAGATTCTATAGGTTGTAACTAGTATTTCTTAAATGTGTTTATTGGGTTTGTTTGGATCATAAGAGAACGGAGACTATTCTCCAAAGAAGTGGGTGTTCACTTCTTGTGTAATTATCTCTCGTTAATTCAAATAAAACCCATAAAATCACATGACCCAAACATTAATCACACTTTTGACATGTTTGCTTCTACACTCATTTTTCTGCTAACACACCCAGATCATACGTTTTGCACCTTACCATGTGATAAGCTCTCATGTGTTAATATAGATCTAGGAGTGGGATGTCCATTTAGTAGGCAAAGTTCATATTTGAATTTCAAATTTGAACTACAGTCAATTAACTTGAGGACAAGTTAACCTAACCTTGGTTAGATTAACTTGCACCACAAGCTACCAAACTCTATATATAGGAACCCCTTGTACATTAGTCTTCTCTTTTTGAGATATATGAGAATCAAGATTGAGTTTTCTCTCACTTTTCAAGTCTAGGGGTTTTTTCTTTGAGTGCAACTTCATTTGCATCTCTTATCAAGGATCATTTTCTTATAGTGAGAATCACATTTTGGCTTATCTTTCTCTTGGAATGATGCCACCATCTTCTAGTATTTTCCATCATTTGAAGTTTCTTCTACATTCAATCCCCATGCAAGAAATATCAAGGGAGAAGGAAGAAATCTAGAGGAGAAGACAATCCTCTTTGAAGGTTATTCCATCATTTTTGGTATTTAGAGCATGGTCATCTTCATGAGGTTGAAAAAGTATGTTGTCTTTGTTCTAGTATTTTTGTCATGTTCATAAATGCTTTTCATGTCTTGTTGAGCTTATGATGAAGTAGATTTGGTTATTGTATGCTAAATCTTGGATCTATTTTTTGTCTTGAAAAAATTTTGGTTTATATTTTTAGATCTAGTCTTATATGAACCATATCTTATTGTATGCCTTTAAGATTCATGTTCCTTATGTTTCTCGCTTCATTTTGATGCATTTTCTGTACACTCATTTTCTATTTTTTCAGTAGGAAAAGAGGGGTGACATTTAGCAATGCTTGAGGGTGTGACTAGTAATTGGGCCAGAATTGGGCCTAGGCAAAATTTTACATATTGGACTCATTTTGCTCCTAATTTTTCATAGATTTGATTTAACTAGGTTTCATCATCATTGGATGAACCTAACTAAACCAAATCAAACATTTTTTAAATTAATTCAAGGAGCTAAAAGAGACCAAATCCGCCCACCTTGCCTAGTCTCCTTTCTTTGACCGAATTGCTTCTCTAACCTTCAAGGAGATGAGAAGCTTGTGCTACAAGCTTCTCCTTAGCTTGCTTCCCAAGCAAGCTAAGTGAGAAGCTTGCTCCACAAGTTTCTAAACTCATCTAGAAGGTCAACTAACCTTACCATGGTTCCTAGTGAACCATGGTTAAGGTTAGCTTGCTCCTTAAGCTACCTACCTCTATATATTTGTAATTTCTACTCTTGTAATCACTTTTGAACATTTTGAGAAATAGAAATCAGATTTCTCTCTCACTCAAGAGTCCTAAAAATCGTAGAGAACTTTTTCTCTATGGTTTCTATCAAAGTTTCTTCAAACTTTGTCTTGGTTCCTCAAGCTTCTACAACAAGCTAGGAGTAACCGAACCTCCTCAATGCTTCTCCTCCATTGAAGCTACTTCAAAGGAGATTTCAGAGATCTAAAAGTGTCAACCTCAAGGAGCATCTTCGGTCCTTGCACGGAAGCTTGGAAGAACATCATTCTCCTCCAAGTGTTTCCATCATCTACTTATCATCCGCAGACGGATGGTCAGTCAGAGAGGAAAATCCAGTCCTTGGAAGATTTGCTGAGAGCTTGTGTGTTAGACCACTTGGGAAGCTGGGAGGAAGTCCTACCGCTGGTTGAGTTCACGTACAATAATAGCTTTCATGCTAGTATTAGGATGGCATCATTTGAAGCCTTGTATGGTAGGAGGTGTAGGACTCCTCTGTGCTGGTATCAAGATGGTGAGTCAATGGTTATGGGACCGGAGCTGATCCTGTAGACTACTGAGAAGTGAAGCTGATTCAGGAAAGGATGAAGACTGCTTAGAGTAGGCAAAAATCTTATTCTGATAAAAGGCGAAAGCCTTTGGAGTTTGCTGAAGGGGAGCATGTGTTTTTGAAGGTGACCCCAACCTCTGGTGTGGGTAGAGCGCTGAAGGCAAGAAAGTTGAAACCTAGGTTTGTTGGTCCCTATCAGATCATACAGCGTGTGGGTCCGGTTGCTTATCAGTTGGCCTTGCCACCGTCTCTTTCAAACCTACACGATGTATTTCATGTATCCCAGCTGAGGAAGTATGTCCATGACCCTAGTCATGTGGTGGAGTTGGATGATGTGCAGGTGAAGGAGAATCTGACATTTGAGAAGTTGCTGGTACCTATGGTGGATCATAAGCTGAAGGAGTTGAGGGGCAAGTCCATTGCTCTGGTGAAGGTATTGTGGGATGCAGCTACTGGTGAGGCTACTTGGGAGGTTCAGCAGCAGTACAGGGAGCGGTACCCTTTTCTTTTCCCAAGTAAGTCTGTTTTCGGGGACAAAAACTCCTGTTGTTGGAGTGGTTGTGAGACCCCTTCCTTCTTTTCTTTCCCCGACTCTCTTTCACTCACTTGCACTCTTTTTTCTCATCACTTGGCTGATTCACTTTCTTCTCCCTCCCATTTTCTCACTTTGCTTTTCACTCTCTTTTCCTTGGGCTGAAGGTGCTGAGTAGCAGTGGTGGAAGCTAGCTGAGCCGTGCAGAGCTTCTCTTCAAGTTTCTTCTTCTTCTTCATTGTCTTCTTCTTCTCGGAGCTCGGATTTCTTCACCGAGGTAAGGGAAGCTAGGTTTTTGGCTGATTTTGTTGGAAATGAGTTCATAAACTCATAGTGTGGCTGATTTTATGATGATTGATGAGTTGTTGTGATGAAAATTCGTTTTAGGGGTTTTCGGGGTTTTGAGGAAATTTGGGGTTTTGATGATTGATGGATGCATGTTGAAAAAGCTGGGATTTTTGGGTTGTTTGATGAAAATGTGATGTTTTGGGCCGATTGCATGTGCTTGGGGTGCTGATTTTTTTGCAAGTTTTAAAGGAAATTTTCAAACTTGGAAAGTTGCTATTTGGTATCACGCCGGGCACAGTTGTTGGCACCGGGTGCGTGACCATCAGAGGGCTCCATTGGTCGAGCCCGCTGGGTGCAAGTGGTGTGCGCCAGGCGAGCTGGAGAATGGATGCCCCTAGATGGCTCACGCCAGGCGTGGTTGGACCATGCTGGGTGCGATATCAGGAAGTAACTTGGCATTTTGGGATTCTGGTGTGGCACCGGGCGTGACCACGTCTCGCCGGGCATGGAGACTCCTTGGGAGTCTCTGCCAGAGGTGGCGCCAGGCGCAATTGGTATTGCACCGGGCATGAGACCTTGGGGAGGTCTTTGTCTACCTTGCACCGAGCGCGGGTTTGGCATGTCGGGCATGTGAGACTCTTTGGAGTCTCTACCTCCTAACACGTCGGGTGCAATTGGTATTGCACCGGGCACATTTTAGCCCTGGTACT